TTTATTTTAAAGTTGATTATATGAAACAGAATATTCATACAGGTAAACTACGTGATACCATAAGCAACTTATATAAAACCAAACATATATTAATTTCTCAATTAACATATTTCTCAAATTAATATGGTTTATAAAATCAATGAAAAGTTTCAAATAACACAGGTAAAAATTCAATTAATATAGTGTTATTTTTTAGGTTAAATTCATATTTTCAAGCTATCAGCACATATTCAGTGAATAATTTTAATGAAAGTACATACAAAACAAATAGGATTTCTATCTAACTAAATTTATGGTCAATTTTTGTAAATTAACTGTAGAAAAACTTGATTGCTATGAACAGATGGTTTAACCATAGTTTGTGAAATTATCATTATATTAATATTTTATGATAAATAAGTTAATATTCATAACTTATTAACTAAACTAAAAACTAGATGTAAGGCTCTTAATTCTAGATTTTTCTCATTATGTAAGGGGGTGCTATGATTTGAAAAAAGCAAATTTTTTTTGCATTTACTTTACACTACTAACTTGACAACTCTAACATTATTTTAGATGATAATTTTAAATTATTATCTAAAAGTAATGTTAGAGTTGGCATCTAACAACAATGTTGTTTCTGACTTGGATATTGAATGTAGCATGCAAATTGAATGAAATATAGAGAAGATGAAAGAAAGAAGGGGAAAAGACAGTTCAAACTTTGCTTTCTAAATATTTCTCAAAAAATAAATAATTGTATACAGTATAAGTCTTTATTTGCTGTTTAATAACCATGTTTTCAATTATACACAGTGAAAATATTAAATAAAAACAATTCAAACTTAGAAACTGATAAATTTGAATTCATAAATTTTGAGCATGCTCATCTGCCTGGGCAATGTCCCTTTGTCAACTGTTTTTACAGTGTCCACTCAATGCTTCTAGCATCCACGGTGTAAGCAATATTCATACTAATAGTATTGCTATATAGACAGTACATTACTTTATATAATTTATTTTGCTTAATATAGTTTAACTTAAAAATTATACAGCCATATCATAGACATATACACTCTGTCACAAAGAAATGTATGCACCCAGAAGAAATCGAGCCACAATCACGAAAGTCTGTAAGAATGTAGACTAGTAAGACATATGCAAATGATTAAAAATTCAGAACAAAAGATCGTTTTATTAAGAAGTTATGGCATGAAAAACATTACAAATCAGTAAGTAGTAAAGCCACCTCTGGCAGCTATACAAGCCGAAACACGGCATGGCATTGAATCAATTAGGTCACCTATGACCCCTTGCGGAAGATCATGCCATAATCTTTTCAAATGGGCAGTTAATTCACTTGTATCACGAGACGGCTGCATTTGCCTTCCCAACACGTCCCAGATGTGCTCTATTGGTGAGAGGTCTGGTGACCTGGCAGGCCATGGAAGTACATCATATCCTTGAAGACATTGTTGGGAGAGTCTCGCAGTATGTGGACGAGCGTTGTCCTGCTGATAAATGGCACCTGGCGACTTGATAGAATAGGCAGTACAACCAGCGTTAAAATGCTGTCCACGTAACTGCGAGCTGTCATGTTGCCTTGAAGGATGACTAGAGGTGATCGTGTGTCATAACAAATCACTCCCCACACTGTCACACCTTGTGTAATCGCTGTATGCCGCTCGACAACAAATGCCGGATCGGACCGCTGGCCGGGCCACCTCCTCATGCATGTTCGGTGGTCATCAGCACTGAGACTGAATCGGGATTCATCGCTGAAGACCACATGCCTCCAGTCGGTCACACTCCAACTTGCCCAAGGTCGGCAAAAATCCAATTGACACTGCCTATGATGTGGGGTCAGTGGTAAGCGTCTTAATGGATGTCGGCTCCTTATATCAGCATCGACCAGTCGTCTTGTAATGGTTTCCCTTAATGCCACCAGATGCCTGGAAGATGGTAAATGGCGTTGAATCGATGATAGCAACATTGTTGGTGCGGATGTTGCTGCTTTTCTGATTGCGCGATCCTCGTGCTCATTTGTGTTTCTGGGACGTCCTGACCCTCCGCGACAGTAGACTCTCCTTTCCGTCATCCACTGTTGCCAACACCGAGCAACTATCCTATCGCTCCGACAGAGGTGGCGACCGATATGCTGTTCGACCAACCGGCTTCTCTGAGGCCTACTATACAGTCCCTTTCAAACTCCGTCAACTGCTCGTACTGCCACCTGTTACGTCTCAGAGGCATCTCTATTCACAATACCATCCATCCACGTTGACAGATTCATTTAAATAGCCCTACGGCGCGAGCACTCGTGCTTTTAAACTCTCCCAGCTGTGCATCTCATATGCTCATACCGCCGTTAGCCTTGTCTCATTGGCGTCAAAATTTTTATCATTTGCATATCTCTTACCAGACTACATTTGTACCAACTTTTGTGATTGTGGCTTGATTTATTCTTGGTGCATACATTTTTTTGTGACAGAGTGTATATTAAAAATGTACAGAAGCTTCCCTCCTTATGAACAATTTGATCATATGTCTAAAATTTAAATTTCTTGTAGATTCTGAAGTTCTCTTCCTGCTCGTGAGGTGGCATTAAAATCAGTCTTTGGCCAGTAATAAATAAATAATATGGATTTATTTCTATTGCATATTGTCATTTTTCATTTTCATATGAATTCTGACATTCCATTGTTGCCCATGAGGTGGTGTCAAAGTTGTTAACATTGGAGTAATGACGTTTTTTGCTATTGTTTGCAATTGTTATAAACTTTTACAATTAGTGCTTCAAAAATGCATTCAAATGTAATAGTAAATTTAGCAGTGGAGTAATTGCAAGAAGTATCACTCTGCCATGGAAATTAAACTTGACATTATAAAACTAAGGTGAAAAAACCTGCTATAAACAGTAGTGAGCGGGTAAATGAGTTTAATGTATTCTATTAAATACATTGTAAAGGATCAAACACTAACAATAAGTAGTTATTCTGTATACAAATGTACTTTCTAGGTTAGTTTTCAACTTATGACAGAAACTCAGGAACCTAACATATTCAAAAGTAGTAGAACATCTGTATGTTTATATAAAGTTCAGTATTATGCATGATTTCAAGCATTCACAAGACAGTCTGCAACCACTCTCTTATGAATATAAAAAGAATACTGTACATTAAGTAATTTTTTATGATTGCATAAAATATATTCTAACCTCTATAATTATATTAAGAAGGCTACTAATGTTAAAGATACTAATGTTATTTTAAGTTGTATGTATAATAATTAGTTATTTACTGTTAATGTTATACTAATATTTATTCTAATAGCTTAGCTTGATGTTTAGTTTATTTTTTTATAAATTAAATAAAGTTTTTACTTTACATTTTTGTGTACTTTGTAGTTGGAAAATTTGTCAAATATAAATACATAAAATAAAAAAATTGATAATGATTTCATCCAAATGTATCTAATTATGATTTGATCCTTTATTCAGACTGGAAATGTCAATGTAGTTCTATTGACATTTTTCTTGACTAGATTCCTTTTTCTCCTGCATTAATATATGTTTGTTGTAATAATTCTGCTATGATGACTGCATAATGTAAAACAGGGTTTCCCAACAGAGTCAATATTGACCCTCTAGGGATCAATGAAAGTTTGAAAGGAGCAAATTACAGTAAATACATATTGTATATGCATGTATAATATTGTTTAATGGTTCAATAATTATAACCAATGTCGATTGCTTTTCTGTCTTCACGATTTTTCAAAAGTAATTATTAGCATTGAATTGTAGAGATCCCTAGGCCTATTAACCTCAACCTGGTTTGTATGCCATTTTAAGACTGTTGTTCTGACATCCTCCCACTAAATAAATAAATAAAATACTTTCTTACTGGAACTACACTATAAATAAAAATCAAAACCTTTAAACAATCCAGCAAATCGTTTTTTTTAATATCTTAAAAACGCTTTAGAACGCTTTAAGCGATCATCCTCAGTTATCATTTTGAATCGAACGAAGAATTCGAAATTACATAAAACAAAATTCAAAAAGCGGTTACAAAAATGTATACATTTTTACTGAATGTATACATTTTATTTTATTTCTTTATTTCGATTTAATTAACTTGTATAATTTTTGCAATTATTTAAACTTGGTCAATGTTAACGTATATTTATGTAACCGCTTTTTGAATTTTGTTTTACGTAATTTCGAATTCTTCATTCGATTCAAAATGATAACTGAGGATGATCGTTCAAAGTGTTCAAAAGCATTTTTAAGATATTAAAAAAACGATTTGCTGGATTGTTTAAAGGTTTTGATTTTTATTTATCCTCCCACTTCTTCAAAAGATCTTTAATAACAAATATCGACATAAATCCGCATTTTCAGAAGAAAATGTAAAAGAATTGTGTCTGTCAGAAATACAAAAGGCTGGAATTACAAGGAGAGTTTCAAAGTTCGGGGGAATACTATCCGATCAGTATATACTGGGTAGGATGTCGATGTCTCCCACGTTCTGAAAAGTTTTGAATTGTTGCCTGAAGACAAAGGAAGACCAATCTGTATTCGCTATTTTACATTGCTTCTTCTTGTGTTTGTTCAGTGAAGTGTTCATTATCCAAACATGTGTTCATTGTCCGATCATAAAAATCTTTCGCGAAAGTGTTCATTATCCGATTTGTTCGTTAATCAATCTGTTCATTAACCAATCACCCACTGTATTTAAGGGGATCAATGGAAAAATTTATTGAAAGAGGTCAATACACAAAAAAAGGTTGTGAATTCCTGGTATAAACCTATATCTTATAAAATGATTTTTACTTTGATTTTTTTCTATGATACTGAACAATTATTATTAATAATATAATCTTAAAATCATAAATATTCTTCAAACATTTAACATTAAAATACTGCATTTATAATTGATATTTTTAATATATAGTTTAGTTATAAAGTAAGCATTTTAGAAAATTCAAATATTAATTATAATTTTAAAATTTTATAGGTTCTCATTTATGTTTTTGATGTTGAATCACGTGAGTTAGAAAAAGACATGCACTATTATCAGTCATGTTTAGAGGCTATTCTTCAAAACTCTCCTGAAGCAAAAGTATTTTGTTTAGTACATAAAATGGATTTAGTTCAAGAAGATCAAAGGGAATTGGTAAGCTGCAATATTTTTATACAGAAGTTTGTTTATATTATGAGAGCAGAGTAGTTTTAGATTATTGAAAATGCCTGATTACTGGACATTTTTTATTTTTGCAAATTTTAGTAAGTAATGTTGTTTGAACATTTAGACATTGTATATATTTTGTATCTGTACATGCAATGTACAGCAATCTTTGACCTGACACAAATAAGATATTGTTCAAAATGAGTTATTTTCATAATCACATCGCTCCTGATCCTACAGTCAAACTTCCATTATTGTAGCAAACTACAATATTGCACTTCCACCTTTTGTCTCAGTTTATGTCCAGGATCTTTAGCACACTGTCTTCAAACAAATTCAGATTATCAGAATACTAGCATGCCAGATTATTACTGGCTATTTCTCAGAGTGCTGGATTAACAAACTTCTACTGTACTTTTTTTTAATAAAAAAAAAACATGAATATAGGATATTATTTGAACTAAGATTATTTGAATCAAGAGTTATAAATGAAGCATTTAGAAATAATTTGAATGTTTATATTAAAATAATTAGGAATTAAAACACAAACATTATTTGTAAATAAATAATTCTCATAACTTAAATTTCTTTGTTTTTGTGTATATAAAGTTAGCTTAAAATTGTCATGATCTTTTTTCTGTCACAAAAAAATAAACAGCAGCAATGGGAATCAATGGATTGTCACAAAATTTTTGTTATGAATAGTCTATATTGGGAATGAACAGATAAAGTCTGTGATGTGAGTGAGTAAAGCAAGAAGTTGGGCTGCCTACAGCAGCAGGAAAAAAAATAGAAACATTGACACTGGGGATTGATGAATCATCACAAAAGTTTTGAACAAGTGAGTGAAGTGAATGGGGGTTGGGTTGAGCAAAGCAAGTAGAGGTAGGCTGTTAGGCTGAAAGTAGAGCAAACTGAGTTGTTTTGTGCTGCTTACCTCATAAAAGGTTGAGCAAAGGCAGTGAAGTGAGAGGGGTTGGACTAAGCAGGTTTAATGTATCATGGGTTTGTGAAGTCGTCATGAAATTTTTATGAATAGTTTACATTGGAAAAGAGTTGACAAAACTTGTGGGGTGAGCAAGTGAAACAAACCATGTAACTCTGGAATTAAAACATTTTTTCTTTGGTACATTCAAAATAGTATAATACATGAAATTTAAATGAAACAAGATTTATTGGCTAAGTGATCCATTAAATTCTATTAAATATATTTATTTTATTATTCAAAAATAATTTTTGGACTTTAATTTTGGACATCAATATTTATGTTAAGGAATAGCAGATTCTCAATTATTCACTCTAATGATTTGAAATATAGATGTACTGTACTTACTTAAAGCACTTGGCTAATATAGCAATTTTCAATTATATTTCTTTATTCTTTTTGGTGCTCGCCTTGCTCATAAGAAGTTTTCTTTACTGTTTTTACTTTCATACTACTATTTATGTCAAGTGCTATTGTACACTTAATAAATGATAGTGCAGATATGTTTTTAGACTTTTATATGCACTGGCAAATGAAAAAATGATATGATTTGATTAGGTGATGTTTGTTTTATGGCAATGATCTGAAACGTAATCTGCCGTATTAGCAAGGTATGTCTGTACGTGAATAACACAACATTAATAAAAAATAAAATATTTGTTATAAATTTCAATGCTAAAATTAAAAAGTTCAATTTAAAACCATTTTCAAAATTTTTATTATCTATAAATATACCTGTTCTAAATGTAGTGACATTAATAGAAAAATCAGAAGTTAAATTCCAATACATATTAATTACTGGAAGACTGTGGGTATGGTGTTAGTTTTATTAGATTAAATTCTTCAAATATCTTAGTAACTGTTAGAAGAACACCAAATAAAAAAGTTCTGAATAGTCCTTCCTCAACTTATCTTTAGCAATTCATATGAACTATTGAAGATGAGCTGATTAATTCCTTAGTTTAAAATCTTGCATTTACATATATGTAATAAATTATTTTCAATTTTTAGATATTCAAAGAACGTGAAGAAGATTTAAAGAAACTTTCACGGCCGATTGACTCTATTTGTTTCCGAACATCCATCTGGGATGAAACCTTATACAAAGTACTTAGTAGGAAATATTAAAATATATTGTTTTATATATATAACAAAGCATTCAGATTAAATCTGCTTGAAAATTTTACAGGCTTGGTCTTCTATTGTTTATACTCTTATTCCAAATGTGCAGCAATTAGAAAGTAATCTGAATCAATTTGCTAATATTTTGGATGCTGATGAAGTACTATTATTTGAAAGAGCAACATTTTTGGTAAGCATTATATTTTATTATTAAGAACTAAATATATAAAATTCAAAATGATAACTGAGGATGATCGCTTAAAGTGTTCAAAAGCATTTTTAAGATATTAAAAAAACGATTTGCTGGATTGTTTAAAGGTTTTGATTTTTATTTATCCTCCCACTTCTTCAAAAGATCTTTAATAACAAATATCGACATAAATCCGCATTTTCAGAAGAAAATGTAAAAGAATTGTGTCTGTCAGAAATACAAAAGGCTGGAATTACAAGGAGAGTTTCAAAGTTCGGGGGAATACTATCCGATCAGTATATACTGGGTAGGATGTCGATGTCTCCCACGTTCTGAAAAGTTTTGAATTGTTGCCTGAAGACAAAGGAAGACCAATCTGTATTCGCTATTTTACATTGCTTCTTCTTGTGTTTGTTCAGTGAAGTGTTCATTATCCAAACATGTGTTCATTGTCCGATCATAAAAATCTTTCGCGAAAGTGTTCATTATCCGATTTGTTCGTTAATCAATCTGTTCATTAACCAATCACCCACTGTATTTAAGGGGATCAATGGAAAAATTTCTTGAAAGAGGTCAATACACAAAAAAAGGTTGTGAATTCCTGGTATAAACCTATATCTTATAAAATGATTTTTACTTTGATTTTTTTCTATGATACTGAACAATTATTATTAATAATATAATCTTAAAATCATAAATATTCTTCAAACATTTAACATTAAAATACTGCATTTATAATTGATATTTTTAATATATAGTTTAGTTATAAAGTAAGCATTTTAGAAAATTCAAATATTAATTATAATTTTAAAATTTTATAGGTTCTCATTTATGTTTTTGATGTTGAATCACGTGAGTTAGAAAAAGACATGCACTATTATCAGTCATGTTTAGAGGCTATTCTTCAAAACTCTCCTGAAGCAAAAGTATTTTGTTTAGTACATAAAATGGATTTAGTTCAAGAAGATCAAAGGGAATTGGTAAGCTGCAATATTTTTATACAGAAGTTTGTTTNTGCGTAACTGAAAACAGGTCTCTTCTTGTTTTGAGCAGTCTTGCACAGGTGTTGCTAGTTCAAACACAGTTTGCAATATTGACACTTGCTTTAGTTTAGTATTCCCTAACACTTTTGCATGTTGAAATGCAGAACTAATGACCTATACAACTTGGCCTTAGCTATTTCTTTTTAGTGCTTACATTAATCATAATGTTTAAATAAAGTAAAATTTCCCTTTTGTTTCCTTTTTACATTTATGTAAAAAGGAAATGAAAGGAAAATTTCTGACTCCATCAGTTTTATAATTATTTTGGAAAGTAAAATTTTTTTGGCTTTTTATGGAAACAAAGACTTTCAGCAAGTTTATCAGAGAGGTGATCCATAAAATGACATAAATTCCATTAAAAAGTGGCATTGGTAATTCCCAGTCTTCCTTTGTTAAAATTAGAAAGACACAAGACATAAATTGATATCATTGTCAATATTTTAAAATTATTATTGTGTTTTCATGATTGATGTAATATTAGCATTTTATTTTAGGGAGCAATCTCATCATACTATTACTAACACATAAAGAAGGTTAAAATAATTATAATTTATTCATAAAATATGTATATAACTTTATTATGAAACATATTTAGATTATGTATTTGTGAATCTTATCTAAATAGGAATTTAGATAAACAGTTTAACTGGAGGAATATAATCTAAATAGTCAATCCCTGAATTTTATTTTTAAATTACTGTACTGTTCAATAGCCACAGATGTGTTTCAGGTTCATTTATCTCCTCTTTAGTATGGAATTTTACATTATTTCTGTCAGCTTTGAAAAGATATATTTGCATTAAAACAATCATAAATAGCAATTTATGAAATAAAGATTCAATTAAACAAAGTATTGTTTTGGACTAATCAGTTCTTATTTCCTATAATTCAGTAATCTAAATATATTAAAAAAGGAAAAAATTTAACTAGATTGATTTTTATGTATTCATTCATCTAGTTTAATAATTATTTTATTGGATTTTGTTACTTTTTAATATTATTGCATTATTTTAATTTTATATAAATTTTAAATATTTTTAATTGCTAGATTTTTTCATGCTATAAGTATCATAGTTAGACTATAATTAAAGAAATTAAGTAATTTCATCTAAAAGCAAAGATTAGGCTGCAATTTTCTACTATTAATATTAGTAGAAAATTGATGTGTGTGATTTTGCTGCATATTACAATTTAATTCTGAAATTAATGTAATTGATTATGATGAAATTCAGGCTTATCTATTTATTTATATAAAAATAAACAGAAATATCAACTAAATGTGGAATAATTTTTTTTTAAATACCTTAGATTTGTTGAAATATTTAAGACTAGATTGATTAATCTGATAGTTTTGTGAATTTTGTTAAATCTAAATTTTATGAAACTTCTTAATAAATAACATATTTTAATTAAAACATTTTCCAGATGATATCTCACTGTCAATTACGTGAACATCGCGATGTCCACAGATTTGAGAAGGTGTCTAATATTATCAAGCAGTTCAAATTAAGTTGTAGTAAATTAGCTGCACAGTTTCAGAGTATGGAAGTCTGTAATAAGCAGTTTGCTGCATTTATAGACATTTTTACTCCTAATACTTACGTTATGGTTATTATGTCAGATCCCAGCATACGTAAGTTTTTATTATAAATTTATTTTTTAAAATTTCAGATAAATAGATTTATATAACATGCCAATCTCTCTCTTAACAGCATCTGCAGCAACACTTATTAACATAAAAAATGCCAGGAAACATTTTGAAAAATTAGAAGGTGTCAAACAATCCCAGCATAATCTAGCAGGAAGATAATAGAAAAATTTAAAAGGATATTTGTGAATGGACATATAAAAATGTATAACTTGAGTGTCAAGATTTCACTATAAATCTAGTGAACACGTGATGATGATTTATTTTTAAATTGGATCTGAGTGCTAAAACAATTATGTGAATAATTCTTATTATTTTGTAACGAGCAATGAAATATTACAATGTATAAAGTAATTTAAAATTTTGTTCATAAATTCTAAAAATTATTTGTGAATCTTTCATTTTTCATAATTGTAATTTTCTTTTCCAATATATTTTGTACCAAATTAATAAGAGAATTAAAAGGTGTTCATAATTTTTTAATATTTTGAGAAGTATTATAAACATACATATGTATGGTATTATAATAATAAAATATATTATTAAACTTAAATTTGTTTTATAGACTAAATCATATTAATTTTATAATGTAAATTCAGTTCTCTGTTAAATATCAAACAAACAGCAGGAATCCTTTATTAGGCTATTAAGGCTATATTAATAATTCTAAGTAACTATCAGGTTGGTTGTATTTATCATTATTGGTTTTATATCAACAAATAATTGCAGCTAATGTGTACTTTGACTATTTCGTCTAGAATTAAAGTTAAACTTTTTGCAAATAAAATATTTAGTATGAAGCAGATAATTTTAGTCTTACACTAATTAATGCTACGTTATGATTAGCTGCTGTTGTCCATCAATAATCCTCTTATTTTGTGGTTAACATTTTGAATTTATTATAATTCATTCCAGTAGGCTATTTGACTTAGAAATCATTCAAAATCTGAATAAATTTTTCTCATTAGAAGTGATGGAAAGCAAATTAATCCATTCCCAGACCTAAACAATATCCATTTCAATAAATTTAAGCAGCCAATAAGCATAATTTAAAGTAAAAATAACACAATTAAAACATGTAAACAATAAATAAAATATGTAAATACTGTATAATGAAATGAAAATTGCATTTGCTGATCACAAATCAACTTTGGCATCTTAAATATGGTTGCCAGATCTGCTGTTTGTACTGCTTTCGTGCTTTGTGTAAGTTCCTTTTTCATCTTGGTGGTCGATATTACAACTTTTCACTTAGATTTATTGCTTCCTCACACTTCTTGGATGCCGTGATTAATAAGTAAAAGTTAAATTGGGTTGAACAGAAAGTCTGTATTTTTAAAAGCTGTCATTACTTATAATTAAATCACACATCGATGTTAAGAGTTATGAAATTTAACAATTTATTTGCTAATGGGAGATTGTATTCTTTGTTTAGCAGCTTATTTTAAACTTTTTACTTCATATTTTTCATATTCATATAACTTGAATAAAATTAAGTTGAAATGTCTTCATATAAAAAGCATATCATGCATATTACACTTAGTTTTGGAAAGTGTATAAATCTGTACAAACAGTAAAAAAATTCACTTGTGGGGAAGATACACCTAAACTTCAAAAATGTCAAATGTGGTTTAAAAAATTCCACACTGGTAATTTTGAACTAAGGGATACAAAATATACAGGGTGCTGTCAACAAAAAAATTGCAGGAAAAAAATTAAAAATCAACAAATAACAATGTATATGTATCTTTTGTTTTTATAAACTATTAAGAAAATAATCTTGAACAGTTGGTAATTAATTTTCTTTTGTCCAGATAAGAGGAAATTTTATGGAAGATGACTTTCTCAACATGATGCTTCAGATTTTTTCTTGCAATCTTTGATTTTTTCAAGTACAGTGGTGCCTCGTATAACGTACGCTGCGAACAACGGACTTTCTGTTTGGCCGTTATGTGACTCGAGCAACGGACTGGCTTCGAACAATGGACTTTCCGTTCGGCAGTTACGTGAGGCGAACAACGGTCTTACTGCAAACAAGTGCGAATGATGTTTCCACTCTTTTGCCGTTGCCAATGATAATCTGCTGTTTTTATAATATATTAGTATTATTAAAATATATTATTAGTATATCTGAAGTACAGAGCTCCCGTTGACATTCGGCTTGCTCCCTTGTTTATTACGTACATCACCTCAGTGCAAGGTATTTATTTTAGCAATTTATTCAAGTGTTGTGCAAATCATGACTTCTAAAAAAACAGAAAAGTGATTTCAATTGAAACAATGCAAGACATCATCGGAAGGAGTGAAAGTTGACAAAAACTTCCTTGTCAAATGGGGAGAGGTTCAGGAGTTTACCAACACTCATTATCCAAACAGAGCTGAGGCCAACAGGATCAATGATCTCTACAATGACATCCTTGCCCGTCATTTCCAACAGGTGTTGAAGAAGAGAGAGAAACAGACCACCTTGGACATGTTTTTCAAGAAGCCAGCTGCCAAAAAGCAAAGGATGGAACAAGAGGAGATGACCCTGCAAGCTCTGGTAGCCTTTCCTGAATCTGACTCTGATTAAAAACAATAAAAAGAGACCTTCTGCAATGTGTAAAAAGTCTATATCTGTATGAATGTGTAAAGAAAGTGTTCCTCCACCTCCTCCTCATGACATCTGACTATCCGGCATAATTGGTGACTGCTCTATTTTCATTTTTTTATAGTACAGTACGGTTATTTTATGCCGCGGAACGAATTATATGTTTTAACATGTATTTCTATGGGAAAATGCGTTTCGTATAACGGACTTTTCACTTAACGGACGTGCACCTGGAACGGATTAAGTACGTTATACGAGGCACCACTGTATTCTTGAAGCTCCTATATAAGAAATCTCTCAATCATTGAATCATTTAGTATAGATCAAAAGAAATAATGGATGATACACAAAAAAGTTATAATGAACTGATAGTGCAACTGAAGATGATTATTATATAATGGAAAATGAATCAAATTTATTGTATTAATCTAGTTATTAGGTGTTGTATGTGTCTATTTAATAGTATAAACATTTCTTACTCATCTGAAATTTTTATATCAATTTCTTTAATTACTGATTTGCAAACCACTACTGGTTTAGAGGCTTCTTAATAAGCTAAAATTATAACCCAGAAAAATAGTTTGATGAAATAATAATAAAAATTGAGATGAAAGAAGACATTTTATAATAAACAGATCTTTTCAATGCTAATAGAAAGCAAAAAGAATGGGAACTAACAGTTAATGAGTAATTATTTATTGGCTGCAATTTTTAATTAATTTAGTTTAAAATATATGCTCTCCACCTCAAATTAGTAGTGGCTTGCCCCTGTAAGTCATACTTTTCCTTCAACAACAGAGTCGTGCCAATCATCTATTAACTTCTTTCAGGAGAAAAGTTTTGAATTAAAATAACATGACTTCTGGTTTGCATTGGAAGTTCGTACGCATTTAATTGGGGCCTCTTACTCCTAAGGTTTCCATATCTGTCTCAGATTTTTCATCTATCTAACTCCATTCTGTAGATTAAGGAAGGACAGACAACAGTTGGAACTTATACAATTTTTTTAAATTGCAACCCAATATATTTTCTATTGAAAACTACTGTTCTATAATACAAATATCATCTTGATAATATAATATTATGTAAACACAATTAAGGGTCCTTTCTTCTTTTCAGTAGAGGGTTATCCACTTTTGGAAAAGAATAATTTTTTTGGTGGAAATTTTACACTATTGACAGCATATTACTAAGAGGAAAATTCGTGTAGGATAGGTAATAAGACTAGATAGACTGTATTTCAATTGTAATAGATGTCTTTTATATTATTGACGTTATAGAATAATAATAATAATATGCATCATCTCTCTTTTTTGTAACTGAACAATTTGTAGACATTTATAATGATCTATTTATGGACATAATACAGAAAACATTGAAATAATATACTGTTTGGCAGATTAATCAAAACATTTTCTGTTAATATTCAAAAATACAAAAAATTGTTTGATATTACACATTAAAAACTGCAGAAATTCATTAGATTTCATTGTTGTTAGACTATATTATTTGCTTTCATTATGCTATTATATATAATTACAACTTCAAATTTTTTTTTTTAATAATTTCATTTATATATCATATATATTGATTAAAATTAAAAAAAAAAAAAACGTTAAGTTCCATTTTTATATGAGTATGATAAATTTATGTTTAAAATTTTTATTTACTGGAATATGGTTTAAAACATTAAAGAAAAATGAAAGTTTGTATATAAAAAACAATTGGCCGTGTGTGATTGGTCAAATTGCCATATGGTAAGGCATTAATCTGATACTACAGCAGATCTGATTTAGACACTTAGAATTTATGAACTATATGTAAATAATTCCAACCTCTATATTGGGAGTGTTAATCGCTATCTCTTATCTGTGCTAGTCATACAATTCATATTGTGCGTGATACATGTCTAACAATAATAAGACAATACTTTAATTTGAAAATTCCATCATTGATTAATTCTTTTCTTGAAAAATATCAACATTTGAAGGTAAAACATTAACTTTAGTACTGTTTATGTTTCAATTATATTCCAAATGATATCTGACTAATTGAAAAATCTTTTAGTCACTGTGCAAGATTAACAAAGGCCCTGCCTCAGGCTTTGATTTTTAACTGTAGTTGAAATAAAATGACAATTTGCATTTTTGGATTAAGTCTGGAAACAAATATTATGTAAATACAAAATAATTATCTAGAGTAATATCAATTTTTACAATTTAGGGAACTATGTTTTGCTAATATTGAAAATCTAAGTTTGTGCCTTTGCACAGTGTCTTCAAAAAAGGAAGAGCTGGGAAATTTTCCCTGGGCCCATAGCCTCAAATTTTTTTCTTCTAACAAAAAATAAAATCTTTAATAATAAAAAAAACAAAATAATGCTTGCAATCATATTGACTAATTTATCCAATGACAATGCTGTAACTGTTTGAACAGTATTGTTAGCAGAACAGAAAAACCGAAGCAGATATTTAAGTTAGATTGAATGTTGAAATGTAGGCACTATATACTGTTATTACAATTATGAATAATAATTGCCACATATTATAAAATACCATTCTCATTCCATGCATTTTACTGTTGGAGCAACAAGTCATCAAACAACATTTAGTTGTTGCTTCATGCTTCAGATTGTACAGTATTTTATAGTGTGTAATGGTTTTTCTGTAATATATCTGTTCAGCAGCTACAGTGCACTTAATATTGGCTTATTGTGAATTTCACAGCATAAGGCAATATTAGTGTTGTTAGGGAATTTAACAGCATTAACATTATTTTACTATTATTTGATTATTTGTCATAAAATGCAATCGAATATTTTATTCTTGAACTTTCGTTAAATGTAAGCCAAATATTTATATTAATTACATCATTAATAAATCTTCCATAATATTCAAGGCATTTAACCCTTCCTGCTGGACTAGTTCAGTATCATATTTATGTTACAGGAGTGTTTCATCAATATTTTTAAGAGTTTTTACTACTAAGTTCTGAAATGCTTGGAGATGGGAATCTGTTTTCAATAAATTCAAATATCCAAATTATTTATCAATTAGGACAGAAAATATTAACACAAAATTGTTTTCATAATACAAAATAGTTAATTTTTACATACAAAGTACTACTGTAATATGAGAAATTAGGATATTTAATGGTTATGCTTAGTTTTGGACATGAGAGTATATTTAAAATGTAATAATTAATAAGAAATTAAGCAATTGTTTTACAAAATATTTATTCATAACAATTAAACACATAGACAATTGTACCATACTATTGATATTTACAGTTTATATTATTAATCATCAAATAATATTTTCATAAAAAAGTAATTGGATGTAGTTTAACTTTTCACCAATGTGCATTTAAATGTTCTGCTACTTTGCGTAAAAAGTCTTTGTGACTTGCATAAAGCTGAAGTTCCGAACCAATATCTGTCCAGCAGACTTTAGCAGCATCATCACCTGCTTCGAGATGGATCTTTCCAATACTTTCTCCAGTATCATCGTGAAAAACATACGCCACTGTTTCCATCCAAGCATTATCTGTATTTCGAGGATCATCTACATATCCTTTGTATATCTGAAATTATAACAATTAAATATGGTTAATTATTTAAATTTAAATATATTTATAAATGAATAGATTAAAGCAATTAAAATACAGTCAACTTGTATTAATATGAATCACTAGGGGAACAGTAGTTAGTTTGCTTTATTGAAAATTCGTAATGATTTTCAGGGTCAAGATTGTATAATTTAGAGTTAAGGATTAAAGGGCAATTGAAATCTCTAAATTATATTTTGAATTAATTTACTAAATAAAGTTAATAAAATTATATTTTTTTACAAAAATAAATTAATGATCTAAATGATTTTCAAATAAACAAAATGAGGAGACAATAGTCACTGTTTAAGTGTGGAGTAGTAAGTATATCATAATACTGTAGTTAAACAAAACAAAGCTAAAAGAAATCCATGTTATTTTTCTGTTTAAAATAATTTTTGGCACCAAAAGAATGTAAAAAGCAACTGTTATTGAAAATGGGATTATTTCTTGGGGTTGTAAAGGTAATTTACAGTTCAAATTCTGGTAAAATGTTTATTTGCTTTATTATGTGTAAATAAACATTGTGATAAAGATATTTTGCCAGAGAAATGGCAAAATTCACTTTAACAGTTGTTTCCAACTTTCTGTACCTCTGCCCCCACTTTTTCAGAAAAAATTGTTGCACCCCTCAATTTTTGTAACAATCTAATTTCATAAATATTGTCCTTATAATTTATTTAACAGCATACAAAACAATATACCTTATTAAATAAAGTATATTGTTCACCGGGACTCAAGTCTTGTTGAGACATTTTGGCAAGAGAGTGGATGGATTTTTAGCATTCCTACCTGAGTTGTTCTGACAAGGGTTGTGAATTAGACATAATTGTTTTGACTATTTTTGTTTGTTTGTATTAAAAGATGATAATTTGGTAAAAGATGTGCACCCCTAGCAATAGTCTCATGCTGCACTAGAGGGGCATGCCCCATGGATCAGAAAACACTGCTTTAACACAAGAATTTACTTTATCAGTATTTGTTTTAAGGTGAGTGGACTGTTTAACTTCTGTTAAAATTAATGTCACATTATATGAATAACTTGTAAATAAACAATTACTTTGTGTTGAATTTAAAATTATATGCATGTAGTCTATCTAAGTTAAAAATTTGTTTGACTGTATTTTTGTTAATCAACTTATTTGTATGTTAAACATTTTCTAATTTTAAGATGCACAGAATATATATAACTTTAACATAGAAATAATGTACTTGCTTCTTTTCCTTTTTTGAAAAAATCTTCTAGTTTTTCTTCTAATTTTTGTTTATCAGATTGTGTTAAACATAAACTGTTTAAAGCTTCTTCACAAAACTCACGTTTTAGAGTAGCACTAACAAATTCTCCGGGATCTATCATACCCTATAAGAAAAATATTCTAAAAATTAAGTATCATTTGGTTTTATTTTATCAGTAATAAATTATGATATATTGATTTTTTTCCCTCTCTTTTAATTTCAAAATTTCCAAAGAACCATTTATTCATTTAATGATTTTATTAACAGTTTTATTAAGATCTAAGATATAATGCATAAAAAGTATTGTAACCAAATTATAATGTTAAAATTGTATAATGAGTTGATAAATACTTGTAATAAGAAAAATAATCACAAACAAGTTAATAGAACATCATAAAGATGGGATTACAATTAACCATTCCTAAGTACAACCATCTACAAGAACCTTAATTAAACAGAGTTCCTGTAGATAGTCTGTAACTTAATGAATCATTAATAAACTTTTATAATAAATAAAAAAAAAATAGCAAAAAAGATTGTCCAATAAGAAATATAGTCTACTCTATTATAGCCTACTAAAATTAGGATTCTTTATTCCATAGCTACAGCAGTGAAGATCTCTTAATTAAATGTGATTTTTATGAAAGATATCAAAAACATGCATATCATTGTGGACAGATGCATCACATTGTATTCTAAACTGCATGTCTACTTTCTTCAGTTAACATTGTTATAAAATTTTTGATTATAGAATGATTTTATAGAATTTTAAGAAATAACTACCTCAGCAATAGCACTTGACTCAAGTTGGCTCTGAATGAAAGAATAACTTATGAATAACATGTAAATTATCATGCAAAAGTGAATAAATTTTGCATTTTATCATGGAGTATTATGATTTCATTTTCTAATAAATCAATGAATCAATTATACTGATTATTATAGTACAGTTGACCCCCCTATAACATGGGTTTCTATAGTTCGGATTCCTATATCATGGCGAAAAAATTGTAACAGTATTCGTACAAACCTGCTAAAAAAACTCCTATAATTCGGTAAAACATCATCACCGACTCATGTCGTGACAGGATTGATTGAATCTAGACCAATAGCAGATATTGTACAAACCGTTGAGTTTAAAAGAGCAGCGGACCTACTAAAAACCATTTATTATTTAACGTCCATAAAAATTATATTTATATTAATGATGTCTCCAAAGTTCAGCAAATTTTTCGCAAAAAAATAATTTATCAGAAAGAATGCAAGCGCCATTCAATGACAAGTTCCACGATGAAAACAAGCTTAAGTAATGGTGCCATCAAACAGTGCACACTCGGTAAGTAATCCTACAATTTTTTGTTTATAGCATAGTTTATATGGATTATTCCCAAAAAATTATACGTATTTTGGAAATGTTGAGTCAAATTAGTCTAGAATTGATTAATTTTATGGAAGAAACCTTTCAAACAGCCGTAGTCCATAAACTGCATACGTGCGGGCTGTGATTGGCTGGACTCATAGAAAATGGATCCATAAAAACCGAAATGTATCTACCATGTTATAGGAGGGGTTGACTGTATATTTAGTCTTATTTTAAATCAATTAACTACTACATTTAGGAAATGAAAAACATCTTTTTATCTAGAATATGTTTTTTGGCCATTCTACAGCCATCTTCAGCTTACAACAAATATAAATTAATGGAGGAAAATTAAACTTAAGTTGACTTGTAAGTTTAGAATAAAATCAAAATATAAATTCATGTTCATAGTTTCTAAAATTAATATTGTTAAATTAATTGGAAATGAGAAAAAACTAACAATATCAATTTAAGAAATTTTGGAAATTAATTTATATTTTAATTCTGTTCTAAACTTAAGTCAATTTTAATTCGTATTTTACACCATTTGTCTGCATTTTTTGTAAGCTGAAGACATCCATAAAATTGTTAAACCATTTCTAGAAAATTAATCTTATTTTAAATCACTTTATGTTTCCAAGCTTCGTGCAGTATATTAATTGGTTGTAATAGTTTTAAGCATTATAGCAATCAATTCATATAATAATGTTTCATACATTTGATGATTCATGATAATTTTAAAGTACACGAATGCTTATTATTTCTATTCTCATTATAATTTTTTGCAATTTCTCTCCATTAAAACATTACTTTTTGTTCTATTTTATTTGCATAGCATTGATCTATCTTCTACATTTATTAAAATCAAAACTTTAGTTTGAATTATATAAAAAATTAATTACAAATTATAATTACTTCTAACAAAACTTCTTTATAATTACTTCTTATACATTACAAAATATAAAAATGACTTACACCTGGAATTGCCCATTCTCCACAGTCATGTCGTTGAATAGAAACAAATTGTAGAATAGGAAGTTTTGTTGTTTTATGATGTATAATATCTTTATTTTCTCTTTTCCATCTAAAAAAAAGTACATTCTAGAATTATTAACTAAATTTTAGAAAAATATATATTTATCATCTGTAAACTGCCTTCCAGAAACTTTTTAAATGAATTATAATTAATGAATTAGTGATGATTATGACCTTGTGACAATTGGATCAGCAGCATGATTTGGACCCCAACGTCCTAAGCAACCTCTTCCTCTCAATCCAGTTCTTCCAATTGGATTCAGTGGATAATTTTCAAATATTTCATACTTTTTAACATAACTCCTTCTATTCACATTTCCATCTAATTCATTCCACTTTGGTTTAAAATTTGAATTTCTGGAAATTTTCAAATATCTCTTTAGTAATCAACTTATGAGAAATAACAATAAATTTTAAAAATTTATTTTTCAAATTTGATTTTAAATACTATAATAAAATATTCTTGCAATATTTATGAAGAAATTATTTTCTAAGTGATATTTTCATCAGTTTTGATATCATTTTCAGATTCACATTGAAATTTAAGTAAAAAATTTAATTTTTACTTTAGTCTAAAGATCTTTGGAATAGATCACTGCCTAGAATTTATCTAGAAAATCCTAGATCATCCATAATTGTCCAGAAAATAGTTATATCCTAAGTTATATCCCTATGTAATTGGAATCCATGACTTTTTTCAAGGTACAGTGGGGTCAAAGAGACAATGCCCATGCTCCCTGATGGACTGAAAAGTGAGTATACCTAACAGAATTTAGGGGTAAAAATAAAAAACAGCATTGCACATGCCTAACAGAAAATGCGTGACAAAAACAAAGCAGTCAACACCAAGCAAACATAAGGATTATCTGTATACGGCCAACAAGTGTAAGGAATTGCTTTCTCATTTGGCCAGCAACTGTTTTCTTTGATTACACACACACAGTAAAATATAATTCATATGTACTAATACTAATTTAAAAATTTTTAGTTACAAAAGTGCAATGTTAGCCAATTCTTTCATGATATGACAAAGTTGCATGGTGTCCCTAGTTTCAATGAGTAAGTTACTTAATATAAAAACAACATTTTCAATCACTTTTAGGCTGTGTACACATTAGGCGTTTTGAAATGCACGCTTTGGTAATGCACATTTTAAAGAACCAAGAGTTCCGCATAGATATACACACTCAAACATGTGCTTCTGGCCAAGCGCACGTCAAATGCACGTTGATAGATTTTGGTTAGAATGCGTATTTTGCAGACATCAGCCACGTGCTTTGAGATACATGTGCTGCCATGTTGCTGTACATTCGATCGCGCACTTTAGAGTGGACACTCGTTGGCCAAAATGAAGAACAATCATTTTGATACTGATCTATTTATTAATGAAATCCAAAAAAGACCAGTCATCATCAAATGATTTTATAGACATTCTAAAATAATTAAAAAACTTGGGTTCATATTGTCTTAGTTTTGGATACAACGTCATAAACATTCCACGAATCAGTCTATCTCATAATATTGGGTGCACCCAAAATTCTCTTTGCCTCTGCCATTGTCTTTTATAGCAACGATAGAGGAGCCACACACAAGCAATTACTTTCACATCCATTTCAAAACTGAGCCAGATCGAACGGTTGGTGAATGCCGAGTTAAACGCACAGTATGTATGCTGCTAACGCATGTTTAACACAACACCCAACGCCTAATGTGTACACAGCCTTAGTGATTATCACCAGGTCCCAAGAGATTTGATCAAATAAAAAATGTTTTTGAACAATAAGTGATTAAAAATATTGATTTCCCATTAAACAACTTGCTGAAAACTTAATTTCAATCAGCAAGAAACATGTTAATTAACAATAAGATAATTAAATCAATTAAATAACCAATTAATATATTCTATCATAAGTGAAAATGTGGATGAATATTTTTAAATTTATAAGTTTTTATCCACAGAGAAACAAACAACAAATGTAAGTAAAGAAAATTAAACAAATTAAAATAAGTATTAAAGAATAAAATATTTTGATAGCTTTTTAATTTTTAAATATTTTAATGGCTTTAATTATATTTTTTTTTTTTCCTTTTATTGAAAACCTTGTTTCATCCTACCAGAAATCATTCCTGTCTTTTTTTTTTTACCACATTTTAAATTGTTTCTTCCTAGTCATTTTTTATAGAGCCATTAAATCTTCTATGACTTTAAAATCTTATCTTTATAAAATTTAAATTTTAAATGTATATGGGTATGTTTCCTTGGCAACATTTAAGTAAACAAGCCAATGACAGATGAAAACAGAACAAACACCATTTTTTTCTGTTTTTATCTGAAGAAGATGATTATATGTTATCATAAGTGCTCACTAATGATTTGTGCCTTATTACATTGCATTTTAACTCAATAAAGCAAACAATACACATTTTACAGTAACAGTTTGGGGAACACAAACATTTTTAATTCAGTTAATGAGCCATCTTCAGACTTAAATGGACATCATTCCTATTCTTATAAAATCATTCCTCTTACATCCTTTTACACCCAAGATGGCCCACTAACTGGATTGGAAACATTCAAATTTTCCCAAACTGTTATCCACTGTTAAAGATATATTATTTGCTTAATATAATTCACAAACTTATTAAAATTAACTAATCTACTATCACAAATATCAGTCCATTGTAATGATTTCTACCCAATTTCTGGATCTGCCCACGGTTTCGAAGACAAGCCACTTATCGTATATTCAGTTGGCTCGTAATCTTGCCAATGTACTTCCCAAGACACTTTATCATCAGGAACAGGAAAGCGCTTAATGTTTTCATTCCTAGAATAGGAAGTGTTTCTGCATTTGACATGAAGCATCTTCTCAATATTACCTATAAAATTAAATATAAATTATTTTTAATGTCTTTAACATCTGCATAATTGAAAATTAAAAATTACCTTTGCTATTGATTGTAGATGTAAATAAAACAAGTATTATGGGTGATATTGATTGATGAAATGAACTAAATTTGAATAATCTTAATGAAAATGTCAGCTAAAGAAAATATTTAAGAGAAATAAAATGAATATGCATAATAATCCATTCTGTTAATTAATTTACTTATTTACATTTTAATTTGAAATTATAAATTTACTCACGACTGACATCTACAACAAATTATCTTTATATCTGTAACATCACGTGGCTCGCTCGTCCATATGGTGTTGACAATTTTATCCTCTAGATGGCGTCATTACTGAAAGGACACGGTTTCGCATTTCGAACAGAGAGCGCTGCCATGTTTGGTCCTTTTTATTATGTAGCATTCGTAGATTTTTATTTTAGATTGTCTATTTGTATATGTATTTATTTTTTTCATTTAATGTAACAGCTAGGCATTTTTTTTTAAATAAAATGGTGTGATATGCAGTACGCAACAAGTAGAACGGTAACAACAGGACTAAATATGGATTAATGGGTGAAATAATAAGCGCTACTCTGTAAATCTAGTTTTATATAAACGTTTATACATAACTTTCGCGAACGATTTCACGAATTTATCAAAACAATGAATTGATTCAAATAAAGTAACATTATTCGACTTTCAATTTAAATATTAGAATTCATGTATTTCTGAAGTTAAAAAGCTGCTTTTTTTTTATCATTTAAGTAGGTCCGTGATGTCAATAGAATTGTTTGAATGACAGGATTATCGAGGTGGTTAAAATATCAGCATATCACCACACAACACTCAGAATCAAATCAGGAAGAATGAACCCGTGATTTTTTTCGGAAGTGGTCTTTCTCCAATACATCAAGCACCATTCTCCTAGTTGATAGGCAAGCTAAGAACAAGGAAGAAAAATATTGTACTGTCAGTTTTCATTAAAGTAAACTTGACGAAAGGCACAAAACAAATTGAAAAGTTTAGTGTTTTAAAACCCATGGACAAACACGCATGCTTACTTACTTGAGCAAAAACTATCGAATAACTGAGTTTGCAGTTAAAAGTTGTGAAATTTTGTACAAAGGATTTCTCAAATTTTCGAACCGTGTTAGAACGAAACCATGTTGTAGAAACGCCGTGTTGTACGAGAGATACCTACCTATACAGTGGTACAGTACCTCAGGATACGAAATTAATCCGTTCCGAAACTGAGATCGTATCATGGAAATGTCTTAAGGTGAATCATTTTTCCACATACGATTACATGTAAGACCAAGTAATTCGTTCCAACACGAAAAACACACTCAGATTAGGGGCCGTCCATAAATTACGTAAGGTGTTTTGGGGTGGGTAGGGGTAAAGGATTTCTTACTATTTCTTACTCAGGGGCAGCGTTGCCAGATGTTTTTTGTCCTTGTAGCCAAATAATTTTTAAAAAGTAGCCCAAAAGTAGCCAATTGCTGGAGCAGTTGGCTACTTTTGTACCAGATGTTGTTTTACCTAGTACCTTTGCACTAATCTAGTACCTTTTTACTTGTCCCAGTACCAAGATACCCAACACCATTTTCCTAGTACCATTCATGAAATCCTAATACCTTTCCTTTCAAAACATTCATTTTTATTCTATATTTCTATNGTGGTGACCACGGGAGAGTATTATTATTATTATTATTATTATTATGGTAACAAAGCAGATCGACAAGGAAACGGCGACGAAAATTCGTACTGTATCATCTCCCATGTGGGTTTTTCATCCCCAGAATACGATTGTTGTAACCTTTCTCTTCAACTGCAGGATAATTTTTTTATAATTTCCGCGAGAACATTTCTTCTTCTTTGAAAAATTCCGGCATGATTTGAACACGTTATACGTCGCCATTCTTCTGACGCCATAAACGAATGACCTGATTGGTTAAACGACTCCTGAAAGAGGGGAATATCAGCGAAGAAAATAATAGCCAGCGTTTTTCCGAAATTCGTTTAGACGGCGTTAAGTAATAGACGATCGTTATCTTTGCAACGCATTTTAAACCGCGGCTCAGCCAGCCAACGTCTACACGCCGTTCGGCTGTTAAACATCATTTAACGTTTGACTTTATCCGACTTATCACAACCTCCCTTCCCTTCCAGTGTAGACGTTATTTAAGGACAGCCCCCAATGCTGAATATTGATGTTTGATGTTAATAACTTTCATTTAAACTCTGTTTATTTTATACGAAATTTATTTTTAGTGTTTGTCATCAATTTTTAATGCGAATTCTAAACATTTTGTTTTTAATGGTCAGCAGAAAAAGTTACAAAGTTGTGAACACAAAATATTCTTTATAGCCTAATCATATCAAGTCTTAAATGTATAAATAAAGTTTTAAAAATAGTTTGTTTATTACTTTTTCATTGACAAAATTTTTTCAGACTATTTAAACTGAAAAATGACAGAAATTAAATCAAATAATGTAAATAATTGAGCTAAGAATTATTACGTAAGTATTTTTTTATATAAAGTACTGATTATATTCAGTTTAAATTGAATTATTAATTATTTTTATAAAATATAACATTAAGTTGAAGTTAGTGTTTTCTTTACATTGTATTTTTTTAAAATTTGAATCGTTAAATATTAAAGTTCTCTATATTGAAATATTATACATTATAATTTTTGCATGGTTTATCATTACGATTCATTATATATTTGCTATTTTAATATTCACATATTGATTGTATTATTGAGAAAGTAAAGTGAAAACAGACAGATCTGTCACAAAGTTACATTTATTTTCAGTTTAAACATGCCAAAACCTTATTCGTAAAATAAACGTTCTGCAAAAATTACTTATGTTCGTCAATTTTATTTATCAATAATATGCAATTAGAATGTTTCTCACGTTCATATTGATCATTTGGATTTCATCCTTGACACAGCTGAATTTTGTTAGCATATAGGTTATTTACAGAAGTTTCCACGACATTGTGCACTTTACATTTTTGTACTTGTAACTGCCATGAAGCTAATCTCACGGATTCACTAAATTATTATGTAAAAGCATCTTGAAATGCACCTACTGTTTTTCAGGAAATGAACGGTCTGTCAGTACTTTTACTTTTTCAACCGACCCAGTTTTTCAAAAACTTTTCCATCCACGATTTAACAAGCTTTACGTCTGAAATTTTTTCCATATTTGGTGTTAAACATTCTCTGCGCAGTCACAAGAGATTTTATTTCATCTAACCAAACAATACACTGAGAGTTCTCTTGTAAAGATGATATCAGGAATTAATAGAAGAGAGATCACTACAGGCGGCAACACTGGCAAAATTATAGTATAATCAGAGTAAACATTTGTGGACTATAAGTTTAAAATTATTAAATAGGCGAGGTGTTTTTAAGTAAATATGCTTAAAAACGAAAACTATTTTCAATTGTCCACCATGAGCACAATTAATTTACATAACTCGTTTAATTAAACTGATTCAGAAATGTTGGACATACTGATTCAGAGAAAACGCTTTTATACAAAATATTTTTGTCTAAGCTTACTTAAAACTTTTAAAATGTTTTACGTAGGTGTCAATGCACACTGATCAAACAAAACGCAAAATCGTGATAAATCAGAATTAAACACTTTTCAACAAAATATCTTTGTTTGATTAGTATGGGTTTAAATGTTTTAATATGCAGCAAAATATTTTGTATAAATATATTTTTACCCGCGGGAAGTGATCCATCGACAACTTGTCGAAGGAACAAACAGTAATCATTTTCTTGTGCGCGTTTATAGTTGATTGGACGCTTTCTACATATAGCTCATATTTGCAAGTGTAGTTAATTATAATAAACTAAACTATACAGATAGATTCAAAGAAGTTAATTATTTTAATTGAAAAAAGCCTTCTTTACATGATTCATCCTGACACAGCTGCATCCATTGCCATATAAGAATAGTAAAGTTAAAACAAAGTTCACAATTGGCGCCCGTTTCCGGTTCGCCAATGAACACAATATAGTGTTAAAATAGTTCGTGTCTTCCACACTTTGGTCGTCAGAAAGACACCGTACGACTCTACGAGCGGTTGTCCAGTAGCAACACTTTCTTCAGCGGTCGTAGCGTTCGGATTACAAGACATAGGGTTGCCAACTCAAAAAAAAATAAAATAAAATAAAAGTAGCTAAAAGCAAACAAAAACACTCTAAAAATAACTAAAAAAATTTCAAAATTTTTTAAAAAAAAGTAACTAAACAAAAAATAAAAACCAACCTTTAATTAATCTATTTTAACTTTATTCAAAAAGTCCATTGGTCGCTAAATTCTATTACTTCTTCAATTTCTTCATTGTGTTTAAAAGACGGCCCTGCTTCAGACTCTAAATTTTTGGTATAATTTTATAGTGCCTATTTTTCCAATGACATTTACTGGCAATTTATAATTATAGCTGCATTTCCCTAACCTCTTCAAATCATATCTAATCGTTAATATGCTACTTATTGAAATAATATTTAATCTATTCCGCAGTTTGATCTTAACCAGGGCTGTGGAGTCGCGTAAAAATCTACCGACTCCGACCAGGGGCGGACTTGTTACAGAAAGAGACCCGGAAATTCTGATGTCATCACGTGACTTCAGAATAAAAAATTCAATAAATAGAGTTCTAATAAAGATAGAACGTATAAACTTTTTATTCTATAGCTAAAAGACTGTTCTAAGTAATATATAAATACGTATTCGATAATTTTTACTTTTCCCTCTGTTATATATAAGAGATGAAAGTGTAGCGCTCGGTCAAAAAATGACCCCTCCCAAATTTTTACAAATTTGGACTCAGGACACCTTGAAATTTCGAGATATACAAAAGATTCGAGGTCTTTTTCTATATATGTGGATGTTAGACTGTGTGGGGGTGCATGATTTTGTTCACCCTGTTTGAAGCCTAATAAGGGGCCGTCCATAAATTACGTAAGGTGTTTTGGGGTGGGTGGGGGTAAAGGATTTCTTACTATTTCTTACTCAGGGGTAGGGGGTAATAGATCTCGTCTTACGTAATATTCTTATTTTTATTTTTTGATCTCGTTGAGTGGTGGCGTTTTGAATTTGGCTTCAATTTGGCGGTTTCTATTAAAAACGCTGGTTGTCTCGTGTGACGTGATAGAGTAATAACGCTAGCAGATTTACGCTCTACACATTTTCTGTCATGGGAGAAAGGCCGTGTGGTGGTTTCTCTCTCTTGTTTTTTATTAGAATAAGTGCACCATTCCTTTGGGTTGTATAACACTAAGAATACATAAACCAAAATGCATAATACAAAGTAAGCATAAAATTAGTATTCGGCTTTCAG